TTATCCTGTAATTTTTCGCTAAGCTTGTTAATTTCAGCTTTGGATTTGATAGCATCGTGTATTTTTTTTTCTAGCTCCAAAATTATTGACAAGCATCTACAAAATCGAAATTTTATAGTTTTTGATTTCACTAAACCAACTGATGATCCTTTAAGTATACGTCTTGATTGGGATACTCCTTTGAAATTAAATGAATAGGATAGAATTTCAAAGATTAAAAATATTTCTCCTCAATGTCTCCAAAACTATCACTAAATGATGCTTGTGTTATTGCTGAATTCCGTGGTGGGAAATGTCTTTCAGCTGAATACAAAGATAATAAAACTTCATTAGTATAGATCTGCTCTAAGAATTATACATAGAGTGCCCCACTTCATAGAGTTAAAAGTTCCAGATCATGGTGCCCATATTGTGCAGGTACTGTAAAACTAACTCTTGAAAATATCAAACAAATCGCATTATCTAAACATGGAGAATGCCTTTCAACCGAGTATAAAAATAATCAATTACCATTAATGTGGCGTTGTAAAGAAAATCATTTATGGCGCGCATCTGTTGGCAATGTGAAAAGTGGTAAATGGTGCCCATATTGCGCAGGTAATGCCCAACTTACTCTTGAAGATGCCAAGCAAATTGCACTCAACAGAAATGGCAAATGTCTTTCAACTATATATAAAAATTCTGATATGCCAATGGCATGGAAATGTCATCAAGGTCATATTTGAAATAGCCCATTTCATAACGTTAAATATTCCGAAGCATGGTGTCCATTTTGTGCAGGTAATATAAAGTTAACTCTTGAGGACGCAAAGAAAATCGCATTATCCAGGTATGGTGAATGCCTTTCAACTGAGTATAAAAATATTAATGATCCGCTCATTTGGAAATGTCAATTCAACCATCAATGGCGAAATGACCTTAACCATGTTAAAAATAGAGGGCAATGGTGTCCATTTTGTATCGGTCGAAATCAGTCAATAAAGGATATGTGTAAACTTGCGCAAACAAAAAATGGAGATTGCCTTTCAGATCAATATTATGATTCGCAAACAAAATTAGAATAGATTTGTGAAAATAATTATAGATGGGAAGCTATTCCCAATAGTATTCAACAAGGAAGTTGGTGTTCCTATTGCTTCAAATACAAACGTGAACAATTGTGCCGTGAAATTGTAACAAAATATCTTGGGCCTTCTTCACCAATTTGCTGACCTGATTTCTTGAAAACACGAGAACATCCAACCGGATTAAAGCTCGATATCCCATACTATGATTACGGCTTTGCTATAGAAGTGAATAGTATACAACACAAAAAATATCACGAATTC